TATGTTCGATGGTGTTCAATGTGAAACAATTCAGAATGACGTAGTGATCTGGAAGGAACATTCTAAGTTCAAATATATTGACAAAGACCAAATCAGCTATTTCCCTGCGATGTTCAAGTGTGGTCGAATTTAATTTAATTAGAACGTAATTGTACTCGTAATTATGAGAATATCTAAGAACAGGATCACAGTCAGAAATAAAAATTGTATTTCCATAAAGGAAAGTTTCTAACAGACGATGTATACAGCTCCTAAACGATCGAAATTTAATTATCACAGTCAGTCGACGAATGAGGGAATTATGGTAAAATTTACTCCTTACTCATCGTGCTAGCCTGTCGACATTATCGAGCCGAAAATGAAAAACTTGGAAAGCCAAGCCTTCTAATATCAACGAATGCCTGAGATTCGGCCGGAGTTTTAAATCCGATCGGATCCGGGATAATCCCGATTCGCGGGAAATTTCTACAGAAGCGAAAAAATTTCGCGTGATCCGCTCGATCGAAAAATATACCCATGCCACGAAGTGTGTGAATTTTACTTGTCAATCGAACGCCTCGAAACGGCCGATTTGTCACCGATCCCACCGATGTCTTTGACTCCGCAGATGGATCGATGTCAAACCCTGAAAATTAACAAGGTTTTGTCGAACTACTCGTGTATCGTAACTATAATGAGCACGAAGAGCACTTCATGCCCTCGATCGAACCAATTACCAGAACACCTGAAATACTTCACTTGAAATAATAATAACCTCATTAGGAATTATGATCATCAACCGGTTTGGCTCGCTGAATCTCATTACGGATGCTAAGGTGTATCTCTTTCAGTATTTGATCGGCATTCAGCATTTGCCAACCACTTTTATCATTAATTTCATCTTCTAATTAACGAGAATATTATACAGTATTTTATATTTGTATTTTTCTTTTTCGCTCTTGCTGAAGATTGACAAGAGCCAGGTATTTCATTATTTCTTTTCACGATCTTCTTATCGATTCGTTTGCTCAGAGTATCAAAGTATAATTCCTTCTATTTCTATTCTACTTATTTTATGGAGGGGAGGATGATTATCGAATTCCATTTACAAATATTAAAATTCGACTTTCCTCGCGGTATTTAATCAGCACTCATCCGGTATCGATTAGCACTTCTACTACTAATTTCACCTTCTCTCCATTTCGATCTATTTGACTTCACGAACTTCATTTGCAAATATCAAGGTCTAATTCATTCGAGCATTTAATCAACACTCACCGCCTACCGACTACTTATGCAACTAATTTCACCTTGCATAAATCCCCTTATTACTGGAATATGAAAATTTTCGAATATTTAATTAACACGAACCTCTTTTGGCCGACAATATCAATTGTCAGTTTCACCGTCTCTCCAATTCGTTTCCAATTAGCTTCGTTTGCATGTATCAAGATCTAATTCATTCATTTCTGTTATTAAATTTACCTATATGTTACTGAAAAGAAATAAGAAAATCTAATCTTCCCGAGTATTCCATTAAAAACCGATCCTTTTTATTGACAGTAGACAATTTCTCTTGCATCCGTTCAGTTTGAATTCAGTTTCATGAACTTCATTTCGTTTGCAAATATCAAGATTTGATTCATTCATTTTTATTATTAACTTTATCTACATAGGTATTCTTGAAACGAAACACAAAAGTCTAACCTCTTTCAACATTTCAATATCATTGTTTTCGATCGATATGCGACGATTTTTATTGCTAATTTCAATCGGCTATCCTTTTAATTCGGCCTAATTACCTCCGTAAATTTCGTTACCAAGATTATTTACATTATTAATTTTATTCGTGTATGTATTTTTAAAACGAAATACGAAAGTCTAATCTCTTCGAACATTTCAACCCTAATGTTTTCGATCGATATTCGACGATTTTTATTGCTAATTTCACTATCCCTTCAATTCGGCCTAATTACCTCCGTAAATTTCGTTTCCAAGATTATTTACATTATTAATTTTATTCGTGTATGTATGTTTAAAACGAAATACGAAAGTCTAATCTCTTCAAACATTTCAACCCTAATGTTTTCGATTGATATTCGACGATTTTTATTGTTAATTTCACTATCCCTTCAATTCGGTTTAATTACCTCCGTAAATTTCGTTTCCAAGATTATTTCCATTATTAATTTTATCCGTGTATGTATTTTTGAAACGAAATACGAAAGTCTAATCTCTTCGAACATTTCAACCCTAATGTTTTCGATCGATATTCGACGATTTTTATTGCTAATTTCACTATCCCTTCAATTCGGCCTAATTACCTCCGTAAATTTCGTTTCCAAGATTATTTCCATTATTAATTTTATCCGTGTATGTATTTTTGAAAGGAAATACGAAAGTCTAATCTCTTCAAACATTTCAATCCTAATGTTTTCGATCGATATTCGACGATTTTTATTGCTAATTTCACTATCCCTTCAATTCGGCCTAATTACCTCCGTAAATTTCGTTTCCAAGATTATTTACATTATTAATTTTATTCGTGTATGTATTTTTGAAACGAAATACGAAAGTCTAATCTCTTCAAACATTTCAACCCTAATGTTTTCGATTGATATTCGACGATTTTTATTGTTAATTTCACTATCCCTTCAATTCGGTTTAATTACCTCCGTAAATTTCGTTTCCAAGATTATTTCCATTATTAATTTTATCCGTGTATGTATTTTTGAAACGAAATACGAAAGTCTAATCTCTTCGAACATTTCAACCCTAATGTTTTCGATCGATATTCGACGATTTCTATTGCTAATTTCCCTATCCTTTCAATTCGGTCTAATTACTTCCGTAAATTTCGTTTCCAAGTTTATTTTCATTATTAATTTTACCGATGTATTCTTGAAACGGACTACGAAAATCAAATTCGAACGTTTCGACGCCAATCTTCTGGACCGATAGCCGACGATTTCTATTGCCGATTTCAACTTCTTCCCAATCGTGTCTGACCGGAACGAAGTTTGGTCATTTTTTCCCCCCTGAGGACGCTCTGGTGTCGTGGCTTATCCATTGACCGTATCACCATTTCCGGCTCTGTCCGAGCGACAGGTCGGCAGTCTCCCTCGACGTTGGTTTGTCACGCTTGTCCGATTATCGACGGATTAACCAGCGGCTCGCACGGTGGTCGGTGGCGATGCAAGCGATGCGGTCGGCCACCTACACTCGACGTGCCCCGTCACAGCGTGAAACAAGACCGGGGAAGAGGGTGGTCTGTCGATCATCGGTAATTATAAAATCGTGATAATCAACCGAACGATCGCTACTTCAATTACACGTTTGGCCGTTTAGCCGCGGCCGCCGACCCGCGCGGTTCTTTCCGGAACTTGGTTGGGAATCGGTTGGAAAACCGCTGGAAAGGGAGGACGAGAGAATTCGCTGGAAAATTTCATTTGGCAATCGAAACGCTGATTAAATCACGCGATCGACTTTTCATCGGGTCATCCCGCCGGGCTATTTTCTGCCTTCTAGCCGCCGTAGGAGAAAGCCTCAAGACCGTGTTAGACGGACGGATCGGCAGCCGTTTTTCTACCGGCCACGGCCAGAAATCGTGTTACGCCCGCGCCGATGTCTGCCTTATGAACGGCAGTATCGATATCGATAACAGGATAATCGAATTCCTCCGCTCTGTCGAGCTCTCTGCTCGCGTCCTTAAACGAAATCCTCCTCCGACCGTCGTCGTCGGTTTAAACGCTCTGCCGAGGAGAGAGAGAGAGATGCTGCCCGAATTGATTAGCCGGCGTAGCGAAATTGATCAACGATGCGCGGGGCCTCGAAGGAAGGTAATCCGCAGTTTGTTCACTGTGAAACGCGGGAACGCTAACGCGATAATCCGAAGAAGTATCGATCGTTCGCTCGCCCAGCGCGAACAACGAGTTAAAGTATCATCGAGCCAATATATAGGGTGTCCATAAAGTCTGTTTACGATTTCAAAAATTTATTACAAAGGCACGTGAAAGGACAGATAAGTGGAAATTATTACGAAACGAGACGTATATATTTAAGTTTTTTTTCTGTTTCATTTAATACACCTCTATGGTTTCATTTAATACACCGCCATATTATAAATTTCTTTCTTCAGCTTCAATATTCACTTTAATATTCGCGAGTAACAAAATTTCTGGGTTGCACGTGTATTAACGCTTTTGGAAATTCTCTCAAAGTATTTAACATTTCCAATTTTGAAACAAGCTAGAACAAATCAAAACTTGTGTGAGCAGAGGTGTACATGAACACGTATCACGCCGTGTTACTAGTTATAGCTATACACGCGAACACGTACGGCCGTGTATCAAAAGTTACTAGTTATTGAAGTTTGGGTTGGGTTCATTCACTTCATTATGTATGTACACATGATCACAAAGACCTGTCATACCAGAGTCTTTTTATATATTATACAGACTAAAGAATGATTCATTAATTAAATGATTAATTAGATATTTAAATATTTAAATTAATTAAATATTATAAAGAATAATCTTTTAGCGTATGCCTGTTAATTTAGATTAATCTAAACGAGTGTCATCATTTTAGTGTGATACTGAACGAAGCCATAATGACCGGAAACACGATAAGGGGAAAACATGTTTCTGGAATAGCTGACATTTCTCCCACCCTGATACCAAAAATCCCACTGTTTTTACCCATTTGCGTTGGCAACTGATTGCGGACCACAACGAGTGACCGGAGTCGTACACAGCAATTTGTCGCTTTCTTTTTGAATTTGTCGGCACGACATCGCCGGACAGAAGTTATTGAGAAGTAATAAATTTATTATTATATTCGTTTTGCCGTATTTTGTTTTACTCAAATATACTTAAAACTGAGAAAATATTGCAAAATTTTGGAGCAAAAGATTCTCGACGTGCGCGTAATTCAGTCCAGCGTAAGAGGTTAAAGCGGACTGAAATCACTATCAAATCGAGGACAATCGCACTGGCTGAAAGAGAGGCTCGCGGAGTTACCTTGGTGAACGTTAGGGTGGCGATCGGTGGCAGACGAGGTAGATTCGGATAATAAAAGCTTCCCGCTGGGTGTGCCGGGTATCGTGACGTGATCCTATAGGCGATTCCTTGGGGCTGCGTCGGCCAGTTGGCAGCCGTGAATGTGAACCCGTTATCGGTCCCACCGTCCAGCGGATCCAGCTGAGGAGAAAAGAGAGACGAATATAGACGGTGTAGAGGGATCTTTCAATAGGCCTCCGTTGGATTTTTAATGAGATGGCACGGGTATAGCCGAAGCTATCTCGATCGAAAATGGAACGCGACCTATATATTTCTCTTTTGCCGATCGCCTGCCGGATCCTTTTTTCTCATCTCCTCTAGTGAATCCTTTGCCAACCGAACTTTTGCCTACCCTTTTGCCGCTTTAATGAACGAAATAACATACGGCTAATACCGTCTGTATCCGAATGGTGAAAGAAGTTTTCTTTTTTTCCACCCATCCACCCCCTTTTTCTTTCTTCTTCTATAAAAGCTAGGTCAGCTTTTGTCGAACTGGACCAGCGCGAGGATGAATAACGAGATTTTCCACCGGGACGTCGATCTAATTTTCCATATGTACGCGCGCGGCCTAATTCGTTATTAAAGCGCGCTTTCCGATTGAAATTGGTTAGCTGACCGTTGCTGCGGAGAAAGCCAATCGAGCACGCGTATATTTCTGGGGGCGCACGCGAGGAAATGTGTGTGTGCGTGTGTGTGTGTATCGAAATCAATGATCTCTCGTCGACGATAATTACCTCGACGGTCACCGTGTCGACCCAGTTCCCCTCGACGCACAGCTGGAAGGAATCGACCCCCACGAACCAGTCGGGACTTGGATTGATGCGCGCCATGATGCTTATCAGAGTGTGATTCCCATCGAGGAACGCTCTCGCGATACTGGTCCCCTCTCCTTGCGGCACCGGTGGCCCGGTGAACGAGTGTAAGCTGTTCGGCGAGTCACCGTCTGCGTCCATTCCGTCCGTTCTTCCGGTCTCCACGTACAGCCTCACCCCGCTCGACAGCCTCTCCCCTAATCTGTACAGCGTGTAGGTGGAGTCGTGCGTCCGACCTGCGACAGAGAGTGCCAAAGAGTTTTTAACGTTTGATGCTCGTTAGCTCGTCGTACCAAGTCTCTGCAATGCCAGAGAGTTCAAACATAATCGCCCGCTTCCGCGTTATCGCGCACTTGCACCAGCCGGTTGCAGCCGATCGTACAGTTATAAAAGGCTTCTTTGATCAACGTCAGAGTTAATTAACGAACATAAACACGGGATACGCGTGTCGTTGATTCGTGTAAAGGACGGTTGGTAATTAAACGCCTGTCGTTCTTAATGCGAAAACATCGATGGCTATTTTTCTTTTTTTTCTTTTTTCTTTTCTTTGGAAGGGGTTTTTTTTTATGTGGGGGAGGGATTTTTTTTATGAAACACAGTAGCCGGCGCGTGGACGGTTATGGAGATCGTTAACAGCCATCCCGACTGCCGAGATGGTCAAATATATACGCGAGACAGCGAATTTATGGCCAATGGACGCGATCCTCGACACGGTCGTGCTCGTCTCCGACGTATTTAGAAATTCTGTTGTTGGCTTTGCAACTGATGGCTGCGCGAAAAACAGATAAAAGTGAAATATTAAAGAATGTTGGAGAATAACATATAAAAGCGAGATATTGAAATATGTTTTAACCTTTTTTTTTAACCAGTTCTTGCAACAGCGGTAATTAGATTATAATAATAATTTTTGAAATTTGAAATCTAGAATTCTGAAAGTTTAATATTAAACGAGGAGGGACGAAGAATTAAGAATGAATTCACCTTTGAACGTACACTTTTTGACATATTTATTCGTTTATTCAGATGTTATAATACGTAATCGGAACCTCTGATAAGTAAACCAGTATAAACCAGTATTATTGATTATGAAATTATACTCTCGTACGCTTTTATTATAATTATACGCCCCTGCGCTGGCAAACTGATTTACGGACCGTAATTCGTTGCTTTCTTTTTCAACTCGGGGCTGGAATAATATCACTGGATAAAAATTATTTAGAAGTAATAAATTCATTGTTTATTTTGCTGGGTTATATTTAAATATATTTAAAAACTGAGAAAACATTGCAATTTTAGAACAAAAAATTCTCAACGTGCGTGACACTTCATTCCAGCGCAAAAGGTTAAAGAGTCAATAGATTTATCAATCACAAAGTTCAAGAAATTAGACTAGTTGCAACGTGAGCAAATAATATGCCAGTTTATAATTATTATAATTATTATAATATGTAATTCACTTTCGTTATTTATATTTATTCTGTATTTATATTTCGATAAAATAATTTTTGTGCTCAACGTATGTATAATTCGAATCTAAATTTTCACGATGTAAAATAATATTTAAGCAGAAATTAAATTTCACTCACTTTCAAAGAAAGAAACGATACGAAATAGTGATTAATAAATATAAAGTACAATATTCGAATCATAATACGCACGCTGCTAATTCAAAAGTATATGTACTTTTCCTCATTCTTCATACATACTTGAAAAATATGAAATTTGTATATTCTAGTTTGCTCGGTAACATAATTTTATTTATAAATTAATTACATCAAATATGTCACTCGTAATAATTTCACTTTTTCTTCTTATTTGTTCATCGTGTATTTATGTAATCCTGCCCGCGAGCTGCTTTATGTTTATTTTATTAAAATTCTATGTAATTTTTTACGAATCCCACAACTTCTTCAAACACTTGAAAACTACGAAAGCCTTCAAGTTTAACCGTAGACATAAAATTGACACTTAATTTTATGCCCCGAATAAATATTTACTCATTATACTACATTACACTATATTATATGATACTATTATTACAGGGGATTCGAACAATTAATTTTCGTTCAATTAAATACTATCAGAATATAAGTGCTATATAAGTACTATAAGAATATATAACACAAAAAGAATTTCCCCTTCCCCAAACTTCGTTTAAAATTAAGAATATAAATTACGTGTCACAGATTCCATAATGTGATGTGCTTCTGTGCAGCATACACGTGTTATTTGCATATTGTAGAAATCGGGGAAACTCGTGGTTGTGTCTCTCCGTTACAAAAATAACGAGAGCTGTGTGTGTTTGTGGAAAGTTTCGCCGCGCTTTTATATTTCCGTTCGAAAAAAACGAGAAAAATAACGAGACGGGAGAAAGCTGGAAAGGGGATCCTTTTTTTCACGTGGTGCCTCTCGTCGCCGCGAGTTCCCTCTCATTGATCGACGCCGATAAAAATTCCCCGGCGCGAGTCCGTGCTCGACACGTGGCACGAAATAAGATAAGAACATATCGTAAAGCATAATAAAATATAAAAGCCGTGCTCGGCACGCCGGGCACGTAGCTTCTTTGCGGAACTCGTGCGCGAAAACAGGAAGGCGTTTCTCATCTCGGGTCGAGCCGAGAGGCGTTCGCTATAAGTTCTCGTTTCACCGAGGATTCGACAACACACAGGTAGAAATAGGATTCCTAGAATACGCAGGATGACTCCTTTATCAAAAGGTGTTCAGCATATTTTTTCTGGAGAGAATTTGGCCGCGGCGTTGAATATTTTCGCCAATTGTTCGCAGCCACGGACTATTTTCGTTCTGTTGTTTTATTCCAGTTCTCTCGCAATTATTTTTAGTCGAGTCGTATTTGTCGATTGGGAAATTTTCGGAAAGGGGTGGGGGAAAAAAAAAAGGTTGTAATGAAGATAGTTTGTAGCGAAAATATTTTTAAAATTTCCTTCTTGGGTGAAGTGAAAATAACATTGAAATATTTAATAGAAATATATATATTCTAATAGAAATATTTGTTAGAACTTCGACAATGTGAGATTATAGTTCACCAAATATTTACTAGTGTTGAATATTTATTTATTATTTTTGTCTTTTATTTTCTCATGTACTTGCAATTCTGAGTTTTCTTATAAAAAATAATGTATATTAATGTAACGCGTTATATTTAGCGTGTGATAAAAATGTAACAATTGAATGTGCAAATTCAAATTTTTGTGAATATAATTAAAAAGATGAGAGCTATAGAAAAAAATTGCTTTACCTACGTATAATCTACTCTGTTTTGAATTTTTTTATACGTTTTCGCTTGTCAATTTTCCATAAATGGAAAAGTTGTAATGAGGATAGTTTGTAGCGAAAATATTTTTAAAATAACCTTCTTGGGTGAAGTGAAAATAACATTGAAATATTTAATAGAAATATATATATATATATTTAATAGAATATAATAGAAATATTTATTAGAATTTCGACAATATGAGATTATAGTTCACCAAATATTTACTAGTGTTGAATATTTATTTATTATTTTTGTCTTTTATCTTCTTACGTACTTGCAATTCTGAGTTTTCTTGTATATTTAGCGTGTGATAAAAATGTAACAAATGACTGTGCAAATTCAAATTTTTGTGAATCTAATTAAAAAGATGAAAGCTATATAAAAAAGCTGCTTTACCTACGTATAATCTACTCTGCTTTGAATTTTTCATTGACTTTGATTTTTCGCTTGTCAATATTCCACAAATGCGTAACTATACCTCAAATATTTATACATAGAAGTTTCTCTTCGGCTGCTGATTTTTCTTCTGAACCAACAGGGTTCAGCTCCCTTGAAACAATAAAGCTTCAACGCTATTTCCGAGGCTTTACGTTTCGAAGATCCCCAAAAGCACTTGCACGTGCACGCGGCTAGAGAGCGTCGGTTGACCAATATTCCGAGACGCCATTCTGAACAAATGTTCTGCGTAACGTGGTGGAAATAAAGCGTTGAAGAACGTCGTTTATCTGCAAGTGGGAAGCCGTTTGCACGTTCGCTGATACGTCGCTGGTGATAGATTAAACTTTCGAGAGACTTCTCTCGCCGCTCTCGCGAGAATTATCAGCGCGAATCGTTCAAACTTTAACGATCACCGCGGGGAGGATATTTTTTAAAGGTGGAGACAGTAAGGCGAGTTCTCGTTGATCCCGTGTGTACACGTAGCGAACTTGAAATCCTACGTCCTCCACCCTCTCCTCCTTTATGGTTATACTAGCGACAGTAAGGGTTGAACTTGGAACGTCTCTCAACTGCCAGTTGAACGTCGAAGGATTAACGTCATCGTTCTGTTCAACTTCGTCTTATTTCCAAGTGCCGGAGGTTTAATTGAGACGGAGTTGGAGAACGAACAACGTCGAAACACCGCGTTGTTTCGTCAATGGTATCATTAAAACTCGTACCCGCGGGAGGCAGCGCCCTTAATGGAATATAATTTTTCAGCCCGAAGAACTTTCGATTACAAGCGTTCGTAATTCAATCCCTCCGACTGGCAAACTTCGCGGCGTCGACGATTCCCAGTCGCAAAGAGGATTAACGAAATCTTGATGTAAGGGGCTGAGGAACAGAAATTTCAGAGAATTACTAGGTAACTCCTGGAGGTGAAATCTCTCGTTCGTGGAAGGCGTTACCGCTTCGTTGGAATATGCTCGTCAGAATCATTCGTGTTATAATAAATATGACATTGTTAACTTTTACGAACGCAGTGTGTGTCGGATCGGTTAACAAGATCTTTAAATTGACAATTGACCGAGCATCGATGTTAATGATTTTCGAATGTTATTGGTATAGATACGTGTAACACGTGGATGAACTCTGCATTAAATGATGTTGGAGATGATATTTGAATATTGTTAACAAATGTACAATGAATGTGACAATTTGGATGGTCTTGGTAGTAAATAATGTTAGAAATGTATCATTGTTAATAAATATCTAAGAAGTATATCAATATTAAATGTTGTTAGATGTTAGAGATGGCTTGAATATTGTTAAATTAAATAATCTCAGTATTAAATGATATTAAAGATGATATTTGAATATTATTGATACATATATAATAATAATATGACAATTAAATGATCTCAGTATTAAATGTTGTTAGAGATTGAACATTAGTTGAACATTGTTAACAAACTTCCAATAAGTATGACAATTGGATAAATCTCAATCTTAAATGATGTTTGAGATGATTTTTAAATATCGTTATAGTCTCAGTATCAACTGTTATCAGAGAAGATTTTTGAAACGTGTAATAAATATGACAATTAAGTTGATCACAATATCAACTGATACGTCACAGATGATCTTAGACAGGAAAATTATTTGCACTAAATACGTCCTCTTAAATGTTAAAGAAAAAAAAAAAAAAATATTATTCATGAATATTCGGTCACTGATCGATTTGTAGCAACCGTATTTGAACTTAATAAATGAGAGTTTAGTATAGGTATATCCAAGTGGAGGTCTAATGCGGAAGTACACACGTGAGGGTCTAGGGTCGGGAATACTTTTACTTTTATTACTTTTCACTGGAACTCAATAAGCAGCTCAAGTAGCAGATACTCCAGGTATTAGACCCCATTTTCGGCACTAGACCCCCTTGTGGATTATTACTTAACGTGTGCAAACTATCAATGCATATAATAAATACATATAACATATAAATATATCATAAATGTATATAAAAAAAGATTAAAATATATATAATATAATGTACTAATAATAAATTATATATAATACATAAAGTTCTACGAACACACACACACACACACACAGTAATAGTAATAAATAGTATTTAAATCTACAGCAAAATTCACGTCCGAGTTTAATCGAAATACGCGAAATATACGCGAAATTACCGAAAGTAGAAAGGTAAAGAATGAAAAAAGACATGGCTATTCACCGAATCAGCGGGGGTCGCGAGTTTAAAATTCATCGCGACGGTTATGGTAATCACAAAGAATAATTAATCTCGTCGTTAAAACACATCTTGTCGAAAATAAATCAAACGAATACGTTCGGACGATCCCGATTACGTACGCGTGTCGCGATCAAACGCGTTTAAAGCACTGCCACCGCCATTCGTAACACCCACAGATAATGTTTCCCAAGCGTTTTCATCCAGGGGGGTGGGGCAAGTGAATATCGCGCTCCAGTTTGAGAAACGCTGCCGCGTACCTATTAAACCTCGTAGACGCACGTATAATCGACGACATAAACGTTATTCAAATGGCCCGGTGTGTGTACACCGTCGAGCATTGCGATTCAGGATCACAGGCAGCCATTAAAATTCATGAGGGCCGAGCGTGTAATTTCGTTTTTACGTGCTCGCACGCATTAATACGCTCGCGGCACCGGAATCGAATTGATTCTTGGTTTCCAGCGATTTTTTTGTTTTTTTTCTCAATCTCTCCCCGGAAGAGGGAGACGAGCCTCCCGTGATTTTTCCCGCCTCGGAGTTGGCGTTTTCAATTTGCCAAGCTATCCGACAAAACGGCACTCTGGCCTGGCGGTTTCTCCGTTTGGCTTGGCGGGAATTTGCGCCTCAAAGGGCGCTCCGTGCAACTTCCACCCTCTGTCGTTGCATGCCCTTAATCCTACAGAGTTCCAGAGCGACTTAATTAGTTGCAAAATTGGCGGAAACCGCGGATAGAAGTGGCGCACGGTACGTCGTAAATCCTCGTGGAAACTTCTCTGTCTCGGTCGGTCCTCGGTCGATCAAGTTGAAGTCGCTTAACTTTTTTTTTGAAATTTAGGAAACCGCTATCCGAGGACGTATGGTTCGTTGGAAATTGTGTTCGTTGGTAAAAAAAAGAGTAAAATAAACAACCGTGCCAGGCTCTCAACGAGAAACAATGAGTCTCGCGATGGAAACGGAGCAAAGGGAAACGAGGATTAGTCAGGAGGATCCTTCAGCCTCGATCGGGGGTGGTTGATGCGAATACTTGCTTGAATATTCATCGATTCCCCGTCGTTTATTTCCGCGATAACGTATGCGCGACGGATAAATCGATCGTGCCAGACCGTGCCACTGCGATTTAAGCGTCCGCCAGAAAGGCGAATCGGCCGAGTATATGCAATTTTTATCTTTTTTCGGTCGTCTCTCTCTCTCTCTCTCTCTCTCTCTCTCTCTCTCTCTCTCTCTCTCTTTTCAACTGCCAGAGATGTTGGCCAGTGACGTATCCCGTTTCCGCGTGTATCGTTGAATTTTATAACGTTACTAGGAAAAAAAAGAGGGCGGGGAAAAAAAAAAGGAAAAAAGAAAAAAAGCAGATACCCCGTTTATTCCACGCTTCATAAACTTCAGATTATTTCCCATTTCGCCTCTTCCCGTGCCTATTCATTGTTTGCGGTCCCGATGAAAACGCTCACGCGGTTTGTTTTTGTCCCGTTTTTGCTTTTCATGTCCGGAGAGTTCTTTTTGTTGAAGGGTGGGGGGGGGGGGGGATAAAACCAATGAAAATTAAAAAAAAAGAAAAAAAGTATAATTTGTCCTGGGAAGCCGAGCAATTTGCGTCAATGCATCGCTCGAATTGTCCTGTTCATTAGATTAATTAATAACGTTCTTTGACCACTTTTTCCTCCCCTCGCCGTCCTTCGATTATTCCACCGTTTCGCTCTTCGTCTCACCTTCGGAGCAAGTATAATTTTCGCGTAAACGAACACGGCACTCCTTCTTTTTCAATGTTTCGCGTAACAAATAACTTCCATTTTTAATTTGAGCATCAAAGCGAGCAATCGTATTAACCAGCCATCCATCTCGAAAGCTCGTGCTCGTTTCCTGTCCGTTGAATCCTGCGTGTCGTCGCCAGTTTTTCGTTTCATTATAATACGAACATACGTCGAGAGTCGCACGCAGATTTTCACTTATCAAGAGAAATTATTTATTCGTTATTTGTCATTAGTCATTCATTTTTAGTTAATATATATTTTATTACATTGACAATATTTTTATATAAATAATTAATATATAATTATATATAATTTTTATATAAATAATTATATAATTATTTATATATAATTTTTATATATATAAATAATCATATTTGTCATTAGTCATTCATTTTTAGTTAATATATATTTTATTACATTGGCAATATTTTTATATAAATAATTAATATATAATTATATATAATTTTTATATAAATAATTATATAATTATTTATATATAATTTTTATATATATAAATAATTATATATAATATATATTAATTATAATTATATATATAATTATATAATTATTTATATACAATTTTTATGTAAATTATTGAAATTAAATATGGAGTTATTATTTAAACCCGTAAGTTAAAAATTCATAGTACCTACAAAATATTCTACGTTTGCGCCCTCTTTCGGAAGATCGAAGTAAAACAAATCGTCTTTGTCACTTTCTTCAAAGATCGCCATGTCATACATGCCATTTGTCACTTTCACTTCGACCGTCGTCAGTGAAGGTTGTGTACGTGACTGACCGTGAATTTTTCACTAAAGTTTTCTTAAAAGAGTGGCTCAAGTGCGAATAAAAATAAATTCATAAATAAAATTCAAAAAATAAATATATTCATCTTTGATTTCATTTTTTTCTTTTTTCTTTTTTTGGTGCTAAATCATCCTAGTGTGCAAATTAAAAAGAAAAGAAATGTCGCAAGTGTCAAATAAAACGTTGCGCGGCCGCGATAAAAGAAATAGAAATTTCGATAAATGTTTTACCTACCATTATGATCGTTTACCGAAAATCAATAATAATTCATATAACAGCATCAGGCCGTTATCGGTCGAAGGACTACCGAAGAGGCCTTGGTCACGAACACGAAAATACACGCGTGAATATCCAGAAATAGCAATAAATTTAAATAATAACAAGGACTCACAACCGGAAAGTGATAATAAAGTGAATAAAGTTAGACTCGAAGATGAACTTCCTGACTCTAGTTATTACAAAATTATTATACCAGACGGGCATAAATATAAAAAAGATTATATAATAAATAAACTTCTCAATTGCGTTGAAACTTTGGTTCCGATAAAATACAGGGCGAATGAAAATGAGGCCAGTTTTTTTGTGGATGATAAAAAAGTTGCAGTTGCGTTACTACACCGTGAAATCACAGTTACCCGAGGAGAAAAATTGACAGTCACAGTTATAAAGCCACGATTTCCCCGGTCTATAATTGACGACGAATTTGAAAAAAGAATAAAACAAGTCGTAATGAAACGATATATACCAGCGACAAAATCAATGGATTTGTCAAGGTTTCACAGAGATTTTGACCTTATTTCTGACTACTTTTGTACACTGTACTGTCCTCTAATTGTAGACGTCGTGTTCAGCGTTCTATCGGAATATATGCCAGATTTAGAGGCACTAAATTTGAGTGGAAATATATTGGATATCGATTTTACGCTAAGCATGGTGAAACTGATATTTGTGAATTTAAAGATACTGCACATTGGAGATAATTCGATAAGAGACATGGAAGAAATAAACGGTCTCCAAGATTTAGAGCTGGAGGAGCTCATACTGAGAGGGAATCCGATATGCAAAAAGTATCAATTCACAAATGACTATATTAAAGACGTGCAGAAACGGTGTCCTAAACTCCTGCGACTGGATGGTATGGATATTCAAAATTCAAGTCGTTGTGCGATGTAGTGGACGAAGGAAATAACATGACAACCTCCGAAAGGATGTTTGCTGCAAATGTACAAATTTACGAGACAATTTTTACAAAAATATTTCCTGATATTCGATAGTGAGGATCGTGAACGACTGTTAAACGCGAACTAGAGAACTATTACAGGACAATTTTTATCTGAAAATGTAAAGCAATAAATGACGATGACACGCAGTCAGGAAACAAGCATGAATTTGCAAGCAGTGGAGTCTTAAGTATTTGGTACAACTGTATCATGGACAATGTGCTTTCAGCGTTTCAGAAGCTTCGAAGACAGATAGAAGTATTAGTAAATAAGAATACCTTGTTTAGTAAATAAGAATACTGTAGATATAGATGTAAGATGTACAAATATTTTTATTTATTTCTCGTTTCTATTCATGTATTTTTACTATGTATACTATGTATCTTATAAATGTATTATATATGTATCATGTATGTATGTATGTATGAATGTATATATGTATTATATATATATCTTATAATATAATATTTATGTACCTTACAATATAATATTTTATACTATATTATAAGCAGAGACCAAAGTTTTGTTAGATGTTAAATATATATTTATTGCGATGTATGTAAATAAAGACGAAGGTTTTGCTGGATATTAATGTATTTTCGCATTAAGAAAGAATATTATCTCAATGGGCAGTCATCATTGTGATTGTGAGTTGCAAATTTACGTGGAATGTTTTTTTTCCTCTTTTTACTTTATTTCACAACTATGCTAAAATTATTGTTGTCATTCAGTACATTTGCAACAAACAAAAAAAAAAAAGAAGATTGATGTAAAATACTGAAAGGAAACAACAATTTTTTTGCTAATGAAATTTGCAATGTTCTTGTACAAGTGTAATAAAAATTCCAAGATTGAAAAATATGTATTGGTGATTTTGACTTTAT